ATGGCTTTTCCGTACAAACTGCCTGTCTTGGCTCATGCTTCAGACTTTCCGAAAATCTCTCAAACAAACATAATCTGGCTTCGGCGTGCCCCAGGCTTCTTGCTAAGTGACTCCCAGGCTCAGCACTAGTGGCAGCCGGGCTTGGTTTGCAGCTTAGCTTCTCCTGGGCACCTCCAAGCCCAGAAAAAGTAGCAACCATCTGCAGATCATTTTGTAGTACATGCCAGATGACCTTGGGCAGGGCACAGGTAGCAGCTGACCTTGGCCTGAACCATCTGAGAGGCCTCAGAGCCAGAGCACCTGGTGGACAGCTTCCAACCATGTTGAAGCGCCACCGAACCACCTTCACATGTGACAGACTCAAGGAGCAGGCTCAGTGAGTACTAGAGCCTGGCTGAAGTAAGTTCTGCTACATGAAGTCTGCCCCTGTGCAGCTGATCCTCCATGGTGGTCAAGGCTAATCCTTGAAGCCAATTGGCCTGGGAGTAAATCCCTCCCATTGAAGTGCCAACAGCAATCAAGGCTCAACTACAACAGGAGGGTGAACACAGCCCACACAAGGGGGCACAATGGAATGCCCAGCTTCGGTGACTGCAGGGGCTGTGCCACTGTGCCCTATAGGACACCTAGTACATAAGGCCACCCCACCAAGCCAGGGACACATAGCAACTCTACCTTATACATACAAATAAACATAGGGAGGCAGCCAAAATGAGGAGACAAATAAATGCATCCCAAATGGAAGAACAGAACAAAATTCTAGAAAAAGAACTAAACAAAAAGGAGAGGAGAAAAAAACTCTACCAGATGCAGAGTTCAAAACACTGGCTGTAAGGATGCCGAATGAAATCAGAGGAAGAGTAGATAACTTTAGTGAAAACTTCAACAATGAGATAGGAAACAAAAACAGAGACAGAAAACATAAAACAAAACAATAAAACACACAGTCATAAATGAAGAACACATTAGAGAGAACCAACAGTGGAGTTGATGAAGCAGAGGATCAAATCAGAGATTAGGAAGATAAGTAATAAAAATCACCCAATCAGAACAGCAAAGAGAAAAAAGAATTCAAAAAAATGAGGACAGTCTAAGGAGTCTCTGGGACAACTTCAAGCATTCCAACATTTGCATCATGGGGATAAAGAAGGAGAAGAGAGAGCAAGAAATTGAAAACCTATGTGAAACAAATAATGGTGGAAACTTCCCTAACCTGGTGAAGGAAATAGACATACAAGTTCAGGAAGCACAGAGAGTTCCAAACGAGATGAACCCAAAGAGGCCCACATCAAGACCCATCATAATTAAAATGCCAAAGGTTAAAGGCAAAGAGAGAATCTTAAAAATATCAAGAGAAAAGCAATTAGTTACCTACAAAATAACTCCCATAAGTCTGTCGGCTAGTTTCTCAAAAGAAACTTTTCAGGCCAGGAGGGACTGGAGATATATTCAAAGTGAGGCAAAACAACAACCTACAACCAAGATTACTCTACCCAGCAAAGTTGCCAGTTAGACTTGAAGACAGATTTCCAGGCAAAAACAGAGCTAAAAGGAGTTCATCACTACCAAATCAGTATTATAAGAAATGTTAAAGGATCATCTGTTAGAAGAAAAATAAAAAAGGTCAAATATATGAATAATAAGATGGCAATAAATACCTGTCAACAATTACTTGCGAGTGGATTAAATGCTCCAACTGAAAGACATATGAGTGGATAACAAAACAAGACCTTAACATATGCTTCCTTCAAGAGAGCCACTTCTGGTCAAAAGACACACAGAGACTGAAAGTATAGGGATAGGAAAAGATATTTCATGAAAATGGAAAAAAAAAAAACAAAAAAAATACTTATACCAGACAAAACAGACTTTAAAACAAAGGCTATACCAAGAGATAAAGGACCCAGCAATTCCACTTCTGGGTATTTATCTGAAGAAACTCAAAACACTAAATCGAAAAGGCATATGCATCCATATGTTCATTGCAGCATTATTTACAACAGCCAAGATATGGAAGCAACCTAAGTGACAACCAATAGATGAATGGATAAAGAAGATATGATGCGTATATCCAGTGGAGTATGACTCAGCCAAGTAAAAGAATGAAATCTTGCCATCTGCAACTACATGGATGGACCTAGGGGGTACTGTGGTGAGTGGAATTAAGTCAGACAAAGGAAGACAAATGCCATATGATTCCACTTATATGTGGATTTAAAAAAACAAAACAAAGCAAACAAGCATAACAGAAAGAGACTCATAGATCCAGAGAACATTTTGAAGGTTGCCAATGGAAGGGGGTTTGGGGCATAGATGCAGAAGGTGAAGGGTTTGAGAAGTACAAATTGGAAGTTACTGAACAGTCATGGGGATAGAGTCAATAATATCATAATAACTATGTGTGATGTCAGGTGGGGAACAGATTTATTGGGTGATCCTTTAATAAGTTGTATATCTCTAATCACTATGTTGTGCACCTGAAACTAATATAATATTGCATGGCAACTGTAACTGAAAGTTTAAAAATTGCTAAAAAATAAAATAAAAAGCGATATTTAGACGATCGAGCTAGAACTTGAGAACTTAACTCTAGACCAAATCTAAAAAGGATCTGTCTATGCTTGTCAGGGCAGGCTGGCGGTCAAGTACGTTCTTCACTGATGTCATTCTGTGTCAGTCTCCTTGAAAGTCCTGAACTGCAATCCTCAAGTAGAGCTTGGTGAAAAGGAGGAGGGGAAATAAACTCAACAATACTGTGATGAGTTTTCACAGTGACAGAGGATCACTAGAATTAGTGATCACACTATAAGGTATAAAAATGTCACATCGCAACATTGTACCTAAAATTAAAAAGCGAATATAATACCATATACCAACTACACTTTAAAAAAAAAAAAGCAAATAAAGATCTCGATTAGGAAAAAAAAAAAAAGAAATGAATAAATTCCAACTGCAAATTCACTGCTCTCAGTACACTCGCCTGAAAGACTGGGGCAGTTTCCAAACCTGCACCAGAGGTTATTGGTGAAGGGGACACAAGGTCCAAGCGTATGGCCAACATAGCCATCAGGTCATGTTTTCCTGGTAACCAAGCAACCTCCCAGAACCCCATCTTTGTTCGGGGAGGGGTGACCTCTTGGGCCCGAAAGTTGATCGAGGCTCACCAGGCCCTAGAAGCTTTGATCGCAAGGAAAGCATCACAATCTATTCGACACACACGAAGCCGGCAGCTGCTCTAACTATCCCCAATGAGGAGTTTTTCCAATTCTTCCTTTTTAAGTTTTTTTCAAATGATCACATATCTGCACACTGGTTTGCAGCAGCAAATTAATAATTTTTTTTTCTCCTTAGACTGCAATTGTAGGTATGGAAACGCCATATCGAAAGACAAATTAACATGAGTTCCTTACAACACTTTTACTAATTATCTCGGAGACCAGAGCCTCCCCTAGGTTAGAAACTTCAGCCCCAATTCAGGGTTGGAACATGAATTTCTTTCTGAGAGGCAGTAATTTGTATCATGTTGAGAAGATAGAGACAAGGGTGGGAGGGTCACGGGTAATGGGAAAACCCATCTTCAAAACCTTCCTTCCTCCATCCCTCCCCTGCTCCAGCCCCACAAAGGCGGCTAGGAGGATAGTGCTGGAAACCGAAAAAAAAATAAAGTAGCATCCATATTTAACGTCACACCCAATAGATTTGAACAGAATACGTGCCAAACACCCCTCTCCTTTTCACTTGCGAAAATCTCGCAATTTTCAGGAAATGCTGTAGCCTGAACTTCAAAGGCATTACAAGATAGACGTAGCATGTAGGGAATTAGGCATAAAATTTCCTTTATTATTGGGAACAAAAGCTGTGGGTTTAATCTTCTATGTGTTACAGGCTTTAGCCGATCAGGGCTACACTAAGCCATTCTGATGTAGGGAACAGCAAAGACACCATATTTTTATTCCTCTCCACCCCCCCTTCTCTCTGCTCGCATATGCAAATTCCATAGCGATGAGGGGGTCATGAGATACCTCTGAGGGCAAAAGATTTTCCTTTGATGGGCCTCTGCCAGGCCTGGAGCCCCACAGCCTCCGAGTCTCCCTGCCCCTTTATGAGATTTGATATGTCAAATTACACTCCGCCACCATGAGAAGTAGAATACATTAAGAAATTCTGAAACCTATGAGGAAACTACATCTTTAAAAAATAAACATTCCCATCAGTTAGCCTTTTAAATTTTGATACTTGTTGTTAAATTATTAGGGATTTATTCATAAAACAAGCTGTTTGCTCACAGCACTGCTGCCGAGGAGAGCTGATGTCAGAGATGACGTGGGGGTGCTGTGCCCCACCATCTAACACTAACACAGGATAAACAATAAGAGTTGGAGAAACTGGACAACACACTGCTGGCTTCACCGAAAAATAAAGTCCTTCTGAGCAACGAGAGAGGCAGATGGCTGAAAGTGCTTACTAGCTAAAAACAAATGAAATTCCTAAAATGTACCCCAGCATCTCACAGTACAGAATTTCTCTTTTGTAGTCATTTGTATACAGTAATAACGTATTCTGGCTCAAAAGGAGCGAAGGAATTGTTCATCAGTGCCTCAAGAAATATGTGGTCCCCCTAACTGGTCTGGGTTTCCTGGCATTTCTTTTTACTGGGCCAGGCCGTGTGACTGGGAGAGGAAGGCGAAACGTCTCCTAACGAAAGAAAACTCAGGGGACTGAAGGAAAGCTTGAACACAGTGAACCTAATCCCCAGCCAGGAAGGGCAGGGCGAACCCCTCCACACTCTCACACATATCCTCTGTTCATTGCGGGGGTTCTGCCAGCAAACCCCCCTCTCATCGCTGAGTCCAATGCTGTCCTGCAGAAAAGAAAGACCCAGGCAGGCGGCGAAGTGCTTTCGGGGACCTCCGGCTGGCTGCAGAGAGCCTTTCAGAGGGAGTAAGATCAGAGAAATGGACGCATTTATGTAACAAATGTGCCAAAGCGGTCGCACTTACTGAATGCTGAGCCAGATCAAGGAAGCTGTAGGTTCCACTTGCATGAGTTCTCTGAGCAGTTTCCTAGACAAGAGAAGAAGGAAGCCTTGAGAATTGAGGAACGCAATCTGGAACTGTGTTAGCATCATTTTTGTCATGGTAATCTCTGGTTAACCGCTAAAATAGGCTCTTGACCATACAGTGACTTTAACAGTGAAGAGGATGATGATGATGAAAGTGATGAAAATCATGCCTGGAAATAGATTTTCATGGAATCTTTTTGAACTCCAGTTAGAAAGGTATTCATTACTATTTCCTCTACTGCAGAAGAGGAAACTGAGGCTCAGATAGCTCAAGTAAGTTGCCCAAAGCATGCATGTAGGTGGTGGAGCCTGGACTTGAACTTGGGCAATTGGACACCAAGTTTGGAACCACTCTGCTATACTCTTTTTTTTTTTTTTTTTAAATATATCTTTATTGATTTCTGCTATACTCTTATCTTACACAGTGAGCTCTTTGTCACAGGATGTGTCCCAGGACAGGCTGGAGGCCAATCTTTCAGAAATATTATTCTGGACTTACCTGCATAGTTAGGTGGGAGGAAATCAACTCTAAATTCCCTTTTAACTCTGGAACCCCAAGATTTTGTAATTCTCAATCCCACGATAGGTAAAGTCCAAAAAGACTTCATTTACAATGAATAAAACTGTGATATAAGATGCCCATCAATAATAAATTTCACAAACATGGCTATCCTCACCCAATCAGGAGTAAGATTCATTTTCACTAATATTTAAATAAGCTAATATCAATCACCTGAACTGCAAATTACCATTATAATCTCATATAATTCAATGAGTTGGGGGAGAGGTCATCTCCAACCAGGAAAATGAAAATTTACTAATAGATCTGAAAGACGCAGATGATATCCTGTACCCGAGAGAGTTGACCCTGACCTGCTTCCTCCCTGGGAGAAACTGAACTAGAACAATAGGACTGGTTGGCAGCATTCTAGAATCCCCACCCAGTGCTCTTTCAGTCACTCCTAGAAAGTAGCAATGCAATTTATACCACAACTCAATGCAATTCGAGAGTTTCAGAGCTTAATTATTAACATTACTTGCAGATATCTGTTTAGAAAATATGCCCCCTTTCTTAATATGATGAACTTTTTTTTTAATACTTCACATTTGGTGAGCTCACTGGTGTTGATAAAATAGAATGCCTGAGAACACCAAACAGTTCTAAAATATTAGAAAGAGAGACCTGGGTCTGATGACAATGCTTATCCATCCATCCATCCATCCATCCATCCATCCATCCATCCATCCATTCATCCATCTTCCTTGCTTCCTCCCTCCCTCCTTTCCTTCCTTTCCTTCATCCATCCATCCCACTCACCCATGGCTCCACTACCTACTAGCTCTGTGACCATGGAAGAGTCACTTAACCTTGCTTGTCTCAGCTTCCTCCTCTGTAAAATGGAAATAAACATAATACCTACCTCAACAAACTGAATTAAGGTGAATATTAAGTGTTAATATATGTAAAGTACTTAGCAGTGTACCTGCCCCAAAAGTTTATTATTTCTTACGCCCTCTTTTTACGCCGGGCACTGTCCTCCTGGCACCTGCAGTCCAGTGGGGAGGACAGACCTTGGCCGGGGATGCCGGGGAAAGCTTCACCAAGGAAGCGGAAATAAAGCTGAGATTGTAAGGATGAGACGTAGGTAACCAGATGAAGTGGAAGGACAGGACTTGGAGAAGACTTCGGACAGTTAGCAAGTGAATAGACAAATTCTCTATGTTGATCTTCTATAAATTCATAGTGTGCCTCGGCTGCAGAATTATGTGGGCCATCATCATCATCATCATGGAAATATAATAGTAGTAAGAGTAGTTTTAGTGAATCTATAGTATATCCTAGTCCTTGTATCAAAATCTATATAAATCCTCTTATTTATTAAAAATAATGATCGCTCCTATGGTCGGTTCAACCTTCTTAATCCCTGCCCCTTCTCCTCCCCACTCACTTCCTTCACCCACTAACACGCCAGCTCACATAATCTAAGACCTATCTAACTGGACTACTTAAAAGACACAGGCACTGTGTCCCCTCTAGCCCCTTGGTCCCATCTTTCTTCTTGAAATGCCCTTCACGTGGGCCAATCTGAACACATTCTTCAAGGCCCACCCAAGTGTGAACTTCTCTCTTCAGTGTTCACTGACCCTTCTATTTCTGCTGGCCTTTCTCATGTCCTAACAAGAATCATATGCTCTCTCTAACCCTCTGTAGACTTGGCCTGCCCGGCTGTGAACTCCTAGAGGGCAAGGACAATGTTTTATTCAGCTCAGTAGCCTTATCCTCTGGCACAATGCCCAGCCACTCAGCAGCTGCTCACCACACTGGGTAGCATAAGAAGCTTCCTCGCTGGCCCACAGGGTTACATCACCAAGGAAGGGCCAGGGCTTCATTCAAGAGAAGCCTTTCTCTGAGCACCATGGCCTTCTCTGGCCTCTCATACTAGGTGCCCAGATAATACTGTTAATTGCATGTCCATGTCAGCTTGATGCCCACACCTTTATACAACTTTTTAATCCAACCTGCAGCTGCAATGAATTTTATAGCCCCCACCCTTACTTTAATAAGAATCTGTCAATTGCTCCAGTTGCATTGTTTCATGAAAACAAAGGCTGAGAACCATTGTTACAAGGTGAGAATAGAAAGGGTCATTAGCAATGGCCCCAGACAGTTAGAAAAATCAAAGATGCTCTCTAAGTTCCAGCGGAGGGACATAGTTTAAACAAAAAAGCCTTCTCTTGAGTTTGCAATCACTCTTGCAAATGACCTAAAGAACAATTTGCAGTCAGGGGGAATCTTGGGCCCTGGTGGGACTGGGTGGAATTTTCAGGGTACTGAGACTGAGCTGGAGCCAAAGAGCTGCAAGTGGAGGACACAAGATGCCAAAGGGCATGGGAACCAAGTCCCACAGAGTGGGGGTGAGCTCTCCACCCAGCATTAGTTGCAATCACTTCTGCACTCCTTCCTAAAGGATGCACAAAAGCCAACCAATTACTTCCAAACACTGAAGTTGATGACCCTGGCAGGCAGTATCTCATTTAAGTTTGTAATTCAGACTGTAGACGGGGCTGGCTACTGCAAAGATTCCACTTCCACGGACTCTGCCATGGATGACTTCATGGCTTTCCCCATGCAGATGACCCTGAAATAGGCTGCTAAGATCTCTTCCTGCCTTCATGCTGCACCTCTCAGGCCTTCATGGAGCTGGCAGAAATGCGATGCACCGTGCGACTTGTTTCATCCCCACATTGAGGGCTTCCCATCCTGTGCAGGATGGACCCTTGTCCCTGTGACACCTTGCATGGTGTGCTCCTAGTCACAACTCTGGCCTTATTTATTTATTAGTGAGCAGGTACCCCCTCCCTCCAGACCCCTTGTGTACCAGCCCCAGGGACCTTCCGTTTCTGGACCACCCTATACCCCCCACCAGCCACAGGGAAGCTGTGCAGGTCGTATCTTTGACCTGGGACGGTCTTAACACTCAGTTAACTCACATCCATCCCTAATTCCTAATGAAAACCCCTACTCCCGGTCTCAAGAGCCCACTATCCCTCCTTCAGAGCACATAATAAAGCTATCGTTAAACAGTTACAAATGACTTGATTAAAGGCTGCCTGTTTCACCAGGATGCTAGCTCTGTGGGGGCAGGGGCTAACCCTATCTCTGACTGTATTGCTGTGGGCATGGGAGACATTTGATAAATATTTGCCAAAGGAAGGAGAGATGGAAGGTAGGGAGAGAGAGGGGAGAGAAGGGAGAAAGAAAGGAAGGGAGGAGAAGAGGGAGGCTCACTCACCCCTTGCTAACTTTAGGTGCTCTTGGGTGACTATGCAACCTCTCTGAGAGTTTTGCCTCCCCAGCCCCTCCGCCTCATCATTCCAGAGATCATGTCTGCAGCACAAGATCCTGGCTCCATCAGGGCTGTGCTGAGCAGGGATGAAACCCTATCTTATCTAAGTTCCATTTCTCCCAGGAATGTGGAAGGCACTGCTAAGTTCCTAGCACTGAGAGCTCAGTCATTGTGGGATCACCGTTCTCTGCTATATGTTCAGGGAGAGAAACAGAAGCCAGGCTTTGGAGCAAGAAGAAGGGTGCAGAGAGCAAGGACAAGAGTGGAGAGGCCGTGGGGAAGGGAAGTTTTCTAGTGGGTTGGGGACCACATTGTTACCTGGTGGCTTAGCGGCTCAAGATGCTAATAACCCTCCTGGGACCCACCGCACCTCCTGCCTCTCACTCTCAATGCTGAGACTCACTACTGTGTTGTGCAACAAATATCCCCACATTTTGAGCTGCTTTGTGGGAGCTTCTGTTTCTTTCCAAAAGAAAAAAAGGCTACAAGTAAGACCCTGGTTGCCATTTGGGGTGGGGTGGAGGGAGGTTTCTCTACAGCCCTGCATTCCCAAAAGCCAGCTGTATCTTGACCACATCAATGCCTGTGATGGATACACTCTCTCCAAGCTGCTGAGCAGCACCTGACCTTATCTGGGGGTCTGGAATTGAACTGTCCTTGAAAGAGGCCTGAAGCCACATCTGCACAGGGTAATGCAGCCAGTGCTACGTGGGCTTATTACGCTCCATTTGGCAGTGGTGGAGCGTGGAAAGGCTAGTGCTGATCACACCTGGGTGGGAGGAGAGCGAGAAGGATGGGAAGTGCATGCAGGCCCCTTTGTCTGAAGATAGAGACCCTCCCCAAGGAAATGCAGTGGCTCTCAGTATATAACACAAGGCTGCTGACAGGCAGCCACGACTGCAGTCAGATGATCGGATCTGGATTGGTGACATTTGGCCATGCAAATGGCTTAGTGTGTCCCTGGATTCGCTGCAGGATCTCAGCACCCTGCCTCCATACTCAGAACCAGTGAGTCACTTCACTGTATGTGCGTGGCTTGTTTTCTCAGGAGACCCATAGGTGACAGCACTGTCCCCCACCGTGACCATGCCGAGGCATTCCACCCAGCAAGCGTGGCGCAGGAGGCTCTGAGTTCGTCTCCTGCATCATCTCCTTT